ATCAATGTTTTGGTCCCATGAGGCATTGTAAGCTCTTCCCAAAATCCCACTGTGGGATAGCTACCCATAGTGCACTTCTTTGTGTATCAATACAAGTGTTGCTAGTGAGGACACACACACAACCAACTTAATTACTGTGGCGGCTGGATGTCAACTTACCTTAAGTTGACTTAACTTTGTAGTATAGACATGCCCTCAGTTACCTTTTAGCCTGCAGTACACCAACCACCAAACCCATGGAGATAATTTTCATAAAATTAATACAGATATCTCCCAGTTTCTTCATAGCAGTATTTTAGTAGTGGTTGTACCAATGAAGTCTACCAGTATACACTTCCCTAGTACTACTCATTACTCACCTCCAAGGAACTTTTTGCCACAACATTGCTTTGGGATCTCATGATCCCCACATCCCTTTCAGAGCCATTGTTTTCTAGGAGATCTCATTTGGTTGCATTCTTTCTTCTTAAATATATGACTTAAACTTTTGCTGTATTAAAATGCTTTCTGTTTGAATGAGCTCAATTTACTGAGCAATCCAGACCATCTGGATGACTGCCTTGTCCTCATTTACCACTCTGCTAATCTCTGTGTCATCTGCCAATTTCATCAGCAGTGATTTTATATTTACTTCCAGACCTTTGGTAAAAATATAAAATATCGTCTGCCTTGTAAAACTCCACTAGAAACACCTCCATTCAAAGATTATTCTCACTGATCATTCCTTTTTGAAATGTCAGTTATATCTGTCCATATAGCATGAGCTTTATTGATATTGTCTAGATTTCACCAGCCAACTCTTTTAGGGCTCTTGTTATCTGGTCCTGATGCTTTTAGAGCAGTTATCCCTAGTAGATGCTGATTTAACATTCTCCTTAGTTACTAATAGATGGGGAAGCAGTTCATCAGCCTTATGCAATACATCCGTTGGCTTCCTTCCAAATATAGAAGAGAAATATTTATTAAATACTTCTGCCTTTACTGCATCATTTTATTAACAATTTTACCATTTTCACCTAATAATGGGCCTGTCCCATTATTGGGATTTCTTTTGTTCTTGGTATACTTAAAAACCTCTCCTTATTGTCCTTAGTTCTGCAGCCATAAATTTTTTTCTGGATGTCTTTAGCTTTCCTTATCAATTTTCTACACTTCATAACCTCTAATGTATATTGTTTGCCATCTGCCTCACTTTTTTCCATAGATATATCTGCCAGATGGAGTTGGCAGCAACAAGGGCTGGGGCTCAGTGTCTATGGGTTCCTCTTACCAATACAAAAGAGAACCATCTCAAGCCCCTATCCAGTAATCTGATAAAACTAATTAGCACCCTTGGGCACCTCTAAGAGTCAATACTTACCCACTCAGAAGCACTGAGTCTGTATATAACACAAGAAAACTTTTGTTAAAAGGGAAATAGAAGCCAGCATTACTTTGGGAAAACACCACAACCATGATTCAAAAGCATGTAATCATAAGCAACACCCACGTCACAGTACATTGGGGCAGTGTCCTTTGTCTCAGTTTCCCATCTTGCAGCATGAAAGTCTGACAAATAAATGTTCCTTTAACACGCCACTCCCCTCTCCCTGAACTGCACCCTACTCACAGTTGGCTGTCCTTGGTCAGCGAAGACCCTTAGTTCAGAGGTGCATTCACCTGGATTCACTTCCCACCCCTGAAAAGGGAGCGGGAGTTTCAAGCAATGTCTCTGCTGCTGCTGCTGCCTCTGCAACTAGCTGACTGCTTGCACTGTACTCTGCCATCACTAGCTACGTGCTACCACCTCTGTTGCTGTTATCTCTGCTGCCGTTCAGCTCTGCTGCGGTCATCAGTGCTGCTTGCCACCCACTGCCACTTCTGCGATGCCCCATTCTGAGGTTCCACCACTTAGCCCAACTCTTAGTGATTTCTCTGGACAGCGAGGAACCTCTCTACTATTGCCTCTTGTCTTTTATTGCAACACTGTCCTCAGACCAGGTTGAAGGCTTAGAGCTGCTCCTCAGTGATTTCAGCTCTGATAATCACTCAACAGAAACAAGAACTTTTAATTGAGTTTGCTCAACTCTCCCTTTAAACACTAAAGAGAAGAGAACCAAATAGTATCTAGAACCCTTTAAAGCAGAGCCCACACCACTAAATAAAAACATCTGTCCCTAACCCATCTAACTTTCACTGGGATGGGACATTCCCTACCCCCTACTTAGCAAGTGGGTTTGAGGTTAGGGTGACCCCCTCAATCAGGGCATGCTAAGCACAGTTCTGCTGCCCTTTACTCATACAGTAAGGATAACAAGATTTTATTACCCCTGCATTCTAAGTGATTTGTATCCCAAAATCAGCCAAAATTGATCACTTTGGCAACGTAGCTCTGTCTGCTGAACACCTAGGTGTGTGTATGCAAATATAATCTGGTCCTGAAGTCTTTCCCTCCCCGTTTCTTTTTGCTGAATTTTCTTTCTGCTGCCGTGAATGAAACTCCTGCGTGGGGATGGGGATCATTACTGAGACAGACCCTTTACCCCAGTTTGTTTCCTATTGGTTACACTTCATATTGCTTGTTAGGATATAGATATTCAGGCCTATTTCCTATCGAAAATAAGGAAAAAGGAACTTGGATTTAAGCTTGCTGGAAGTTCACCCCAATAAATATTGAATTGTTTGTACCTTCGGACTTTGGGTATTGTTGCTCTCTGTTCATGCGAGAAGGACCAGGGAAGTGGGAGGGTGAAGGAATAAGCCCTCTAAACATTGCTCTTTACAGAATGAGGCTGGGAATGAAATACTTCATTTTTACCTTATTACTTTTGCAGAAAAGGACAAAGAAGAGAATTGTATAATAACTAGTAAACTTCTATTGTGATCTGTCACTTTGCAATTTCACCCTTCCACCCCTCCTGAGAGGTGGTGGCATGATGATTCTCCCTCCCCAGACCTTCCAATTCAGATGAGTTTGGAGTTAAAGTGGAAATGTGTTAGAAAAATAACAACAGGGTTTTATTCAGAAGTCAAATTCAAACTAGCACAAAGTGCAGTGAATACAGTATCTCGTTTGAGCCAGTTACAGAGTGAGCCCCACTCCTCACCCACACCCTCTCCACCCTGAGCTTCCCAAATACAGCATTTTAGCAAGATACTAACAAGGGATGTAACTGGCTCTCACTCTCTCCTGCTGAAGAACCTCTTCATATAAATAATTAAATATTCATTGGACAAGAAAGAGGAGACAAAGCAGGAGTTTGACTCTGTAGCTCAGTGGTCAGGGCAATCCCCTGAGATGTGGGAGAGGCCCAGCTCCAAAAATATTTCATCTATATCAAGTGGAACAGCTTCAGCAGGGGAGACTGAGACATAACCACCCCAGAATACTCAACAACTCAGTAGTTAGAGCACTCACCTGGGATGTGGGAGAACTGACTTCAAGTCCCTGCTCCAACTCAGGCAGAACAGGGATACAAACCTGGGCCTCTTACATTATAGGGGAGTGCTCTACCCACTAAGCCAATAATGTTATTAAGTTGCATTATTGTAGCACATGGGATCCCTAGTTGTGACCAGGACCCCATTGTGCTAGGCACTGTACAAACAGAACAAAAAGACAGTTCCTGCCCCAAGGAGCTTACAATCTAAGCGTAAAGCAAGAGACTTGTAGGGGAATAAAAGGAAACAATGAGACAATAATGGTCAGGCTGATCGGCATTCTAACCATTGTCAATATATTACAGGCATCATGGCAAAGGAGAGTTTTGCGGATGTATTTGAAGGTGGATGCTTTGTGAATGTTTTCAGGGAGCCCCTCCCAAGTGTGCTGAACAGCATGGGAGAAAGTAGAAAGATGCTTGTCTGAAAATGTAACCCGTGGCCAATGGAGGCTGGCATGATAGGCCCATCAGAGATGAGCATCAACAGTTCAATACCAAATGAGAGATGCTAGGTAGGGTGGGAAATGGCCAAGAAGGAACTAGAAGATGAATACAAGCAGCTTATATTTGATGTGATAGAGAAGGGAGAGCCAGTGGAGGGATTAAAAGCTAGGGATGACATGGGCAAAGTGATGGTGTACACATACACACATACGTGTATACATACACCCACCAAATTTTTGACCTGCTTGCTCCTAGCTTTCAGAGTAGCAGCCGTGTTAGTCTGTATCCGCAAAAAGAACAGGAGTACTTGTGGCACCTTAGAGACTAACAAATTTATTAGAGCATAAGCTTTCGTGGGCTACAACCCACTTCTTCGGATGCATATAGAGTGAAACATATATTGAGGAGATATATATACACACATACAGAGAGCATGAACAGGTGGGAGTTGTCTTACCAACTCTGAGAGGCCAATTAAGTAAGAGAAAAAAACTTTTGAAGTGATAATCAAGATAGCCCAGTACAGACAGTTTGATAAGAAGTGTGAGAATACTTACAAGGGGAGATAGATTCAATGTTTGTAATGGCTCAGCCATTCCTAGTCTTTATTTAATCCTGAGTTGATCGTATCTAGTTTGCATATCAATTCCAGCTCAGCAGTCTCTCGTTGGAGTCTGTTTTTGAAATTTTTCTGTTTTAAGATAGCCACCTGCAGGTCTGTCATAGAATGGCCAGACAGGTTAAAGTGTTCTCCCACTGGTTTTTGAGCTGGAATTGATATGCAAACTAGATACGATCAACTCAGGATTAAATAAAGACTGGGAATGGCTGAGCCATTACAAACATTGAATCTATCTCCCCTTGTAAGTATTCTCACACTTCTTATCAAACTGTCTGTACTGGGCTATCTTGATTATCACTTCAAAAGTTTTTTTCTCTTACTTAATTGGCCTCTCAGAGTTGGTAAGACAACTCCCACCTGTTCATGCTCTCTGTATGTGTGTATATATATCTCCTCAATATATGTTTCACTCTATATGCATCCGAAGAAGTGGGTTGTAGCCCACGAAAGCTTATGCTCTAATAAATTTGTTAGTCTCTAAGGTGCCACAAGTACTCCTGTTCTTTTTGCTCCTAGCTGTCTTTGTTCAAGGCCTGATCTGAATCTGATAGGTATGCTCTGAGCATGCCTCTGGGATCAGTCCCTGCAGGTGACAAAGGCAGGGTATTGCTTAGGTTGACAATCCTACTAGGGATTATGCATGAGCTAGGGAACCAAGCAGCTCAGTGGCATCAGGAATTAGGTGATTTTGTGTATGTCCACAGGCAGAACTTAGGTGCTTAGGGGACTTTTCCAGCAGAACCTTAGGTGCCTTAGGAATTTAGGCAGCTAAAGGGTTAGGCACCAGCTGAGCAGAGGTTTGAGGATCTCAGTGGTGCCTAAATGTTGGACTTAGGCACCTAAAATGCCTACATCCCTTTGTGGATCTAACTCTGTGTACCTGAAAGTGTGAGAAGAACAGTGTTACATGGAGGTTAATGATATTACCCCCACACACATGATGGAGACACCCCCTTTTCTCTGACTCCACCTTTCCAGGGTCACAAGGGTCCTCCAATCCCTTCCTACAGAGCTGCAAGAGAGTCCCTGGAAAAGGTGACAGCTCCATTAATGTAAAATGGGAGATTAATTTCAGAGTGGTTGGGTCTTCATCTGGTATGGGGTCCGTCAGAGAGGGTGCAGGAATAAGGGTAACTGAGTTAACTGTCCCTTTTACCCTGAAGTCTCCAGAGATTTCTTAGACTTTGGATCAACTGAAAAGAGAGAAAAATAATGAGATTCAGGGTGACAAAAACAATCAGTAAAATGTCATTCTCTTCCATGTTCTGCAGCTACCAGGGCGATGGTAGGCTACTATTAAGGGCTTTCCCTTTCCCCTGCCCTGGTTCTTGTCATGCAGACAGAAAGTAGAAGACCAGAAGTAGTGCACCTTTGATCCTACCCCTTATAATTTATGGTCATTTTGGAGGGTTTCGGGTCTGGGGACTTCAGTACCACCTCTTCTGTATCCCATGGGAGGAGTAAGGAGTGAGGTTGTTCTACAGTCAGGGACAGGGATTTCTTTGGCTTTTAGTGTTTCTTATACCTTCACTCCCATTCCTCTTGCCCCTCCCAACTGGCTGCTTGACCTTATCTCGGGAGAGGCAGGACTGTCCTTCAAGTGTCTGCTCATATATTACACACCCATTCTGCCCAACAACACTTTAGCTCTATCTCTTCTCTCTTTTCACCTGATCTGCTTGTGGGCAGATGTAACACACAGTGTCTTTGTTCTTTGTTCATACATATTAGTAAGAATATAAAAATATCAAAAGTCAAATGGGCAAACAAGACCCAAAATTCTGTCTCAGGCAAATATACAGGCCTGAGTACTACATTATCATCATTAACACTCCTAAGAGCTACCCCCTCTCCTCCCCAGCAAGAGACACTGTAAGAAGAGAAGCAGGAGAACTAGCTACGGAATGATCTCCCGGTTACTCCATTTCCAGCTTCTCCCGCAAGGAGGCACAATGGAAAGGAGGTAGGAGCACGAGGTGTGAGGGGAGCTCCCAAATACTCCAGTCTGGGCTTCTCCCAGCAAGGCTGCTGTAGGGAAGGAGGCAGGACAGCTGGTTGTGAGGGAGCGTCCAGCTATGCTACTCCCTATAGGAAGCACTGTAATTAGAGTGGCAGGAGCGCTAGCTGTAGCAGGTGCTCCAAGCTACTCCAGTCTCTGCCCCTCACAGCCAGCGGCACCGTAGGGAGCCGGACAGGAACTCTGACTGTGGAACCTCAGACTAGGGAGAGGGCTGAAGTGCTTTACACTCTTACCTGTTTTTCTTCTCCTGAGCAAGAGGCCAACGAGAGCAGCAAGGAAGATGAAAGTAGCAATGAAGGCTCCCACAAGCTCTTTAGATGTTTTTTGCTCTGTTGGAGAAAGAGGGGGAGTCAGTGATGTGAAGCTCATCTGAGTCTGTTTCAGAGAGCTAAAATTCTTCACACAGATCACACACAGGGCAGGGCTGGGATCCTATTGGAGGAGAGATGTGGAAAGTTCCTGGGGAAAGATTAGGATCTCATTAGAGAGAAGTGACAGTCCATAGGGCAGCATCAGGTCCCATCAGGGGGAGAAGTATGTGGTGGGGGGAGGGCACAGTATGCTTTCAGGCAAAGCTGGCTTCTTATTGGGTAGAACAGTGCCACAGGGAGCAGGGACTATGCTGAGTTCCTATTGGGGAAGGAAGGGGGTGAGGGCAAAGAAGGTCCTGGTTCCCTTGGAGACAACAGTGTATAGGGGTCCTTGGGGCATGGTTGGGTTCCCAATAAGGAGTCCGCCGAGCAGGATCAGGGTCCAAGTGCTGCCTTTTTGCTCCCTTGAAACGACTGTCCCCTTAACAGTGTAAGGTGCTGCACGATGCAGAGAACATGCTTTACAAAGTGCTTTAGAGGATGCAGTAAGAGCTGAAGAAGTGCGACTGAGAAGCCAGGAGAGGAAAGAAGGGATGGGGAATGAGGGCAGGCAGGGAAATTGGGAGAAATTGGAGGGTGCTCCAAATGGGATGGGGTTATAGTACCCACCAATTGAGAGGTGAGGGAAGAGCTGGAGCTAGGAGATCAGAGGGTTGAAGCAAAAGCTGAGAGGCGGGGCAATAAGCACTCACCCTCCTTTCCCCCTGTTTACCTGGTGCTCTGAGCTGGGCACTAGCTGTGATTGGCTCTTCAAGGGCCAGATGCGAGACATGGCAGCTGTAGGTGATAGGTCCCAGCTCTGTGGCTGTGTTGATACTCAGGTACGAATTGATGCTGTAGGTGCCATCCTGGGCTTGCCTATGGCTGGAGAAGTATGTGCTTGAGCCTGAGATAGGGACCTTGTCCTTGTCGTCAGGGGCCTCCCGTGTCCACTTCACCGACACATCCAGGGGGTAATAGCCAGAGATCTCACAGGTCAGGGTAGTGGCTCCATCCCCCTCACGTGACACCATCTCTGGGAACAAACGGACTCTTGGGGGCTCTGGAAGGGGTTAAACATGAAATTAAATCCAGCCGGTGATAAACTGTGTTTGAGGGGATGGAGTAGTACAGAGGAGTCCCTCAGCCCCACTGGGTGGAGCTGGGGAAGCAAGGAGGGGAGCAGAGAGATAGGGGGAAGGGTGAGGTTCTGGTGAATGGGGCCTGTCTCCCCTATTGCCCCCTGACTAGGTATCCTTAGAGCCTCATTGCCTCACCGACCAACTGCAGCTGGATGATGTTCTGGGCCTGGTGCTGGGGGGTGGACAGTAAACAGATGTATGTTCCTTCATCCCCCACACCCACTCCATGCAGGCTAAGCGATGCATCTCCAGTCTCCAGCAGCTGCACCACATCCACGTGGGCCGTTGACTGTTCTGCTTGTGCCACGTCCCCCGCCTGGTAGTGAAAAACTCTACGCCCGCTGCCTCGGTGCTGCAGCCTCCACTCCAGCAAGGCCAGTGGAGAGCTGGAAGCCAAGGCAAAGCTGCAGTCCAGGGTGACGGAGGTGCCAAGTCGGGTACGCAAAGTAGGAGTGCGAGATGACAACTGGAATTCAACTAGGAACAAAGAGAAGGAGAAAGACGAATAGACTGAGAGAGTGTTAAATATATGTGGTTATGGAAGACTCCCCCTGGCAGGACATCAGAGACTGGGTCACAGTTCCACCCACCTGGAGGAAGCATGCTGTGGACTGATTGGCCATGCTGGGTTGAAAGGTTGGAGATGTGTCTCCCCCCAAGAAGCTCCCATCCTGCAGGCTGCAGCGCTATTAGCAGGGTATGGAGAGTATGTGCATATTGCTCTCCTTGCTACACCAAACTCTTGGACAGCAGACATAGCACTTGCCAAGGATCACAGTGGTGTGGCAAATAATGAACATAAGAACATAAGAACGGCCATACTGGGTCAGACCAAAGGTCCATCTAGCCCAGTATCCTGTCTTCTGACAGTGGCCAATGCCAGGTGCCCCAGAAGGAATGAACAGAACAGGTAATCATCAAGTGACCCATTCCCAGCTTCTGGCAAACAGAGGCTAGAGATACCATCGCTGCCCATCCTGGCTAATAGCCATTGATGAACCTAACCTCCATGAACTTATCTAGTCCCTTTTCAAACCCTGGTATAGTCTTATAGTGACAGTGGTGGGGAGAACAGCGGGGCCAGAATTGGGGAGTCAAGGGGCACAGAAATGCAAGGGCAGAGTGATCAAGGGGGCACATTGGTGGCCCAGCAGTTACATCCTGCAGATAGCAGGAGGCCCAGAGGGCCCCGTACATTTGAGCTTCCCTCAAGAAGAGAAGGATTATCTATCCTGCTAACTCACAGCATGTGCAGTCCCTTTCTCTAGTTCCCTTAAGTCCCGGACTACAGAGTGGGGTGGTATTCCTGGGGTCTCTAGTTCCCCTAGCACTCCTTGGTGTGGAGGCTTCAGCCCTGGAGTGTCTGGCTCCAGTACTCCCTGGTGCAGTAGGTGCATTCCAGCACTAAGGTCTTTTCCCCTCATTTGCCACTTTCTTTACCTGTGGTCAGCACTGTGCCCTCCTTGCTTACAGGGACCTTCAGCCTTGGGTGCAGCACAACCATTCTGTCATCTTCCTCCCTGTCACTGCTGACCTTCAGCACCAGGGCTATGCTGATCCCACTGGACAACTTCAGGGTCCCCATGAACCAGGAGGCCTGGCTGGGCCCCTCATCTGCCAAGTGTAGGCTGTATGGAGAGATCTCACAGGTCACTTCCTCCCCAGCACAGTCTGCATGCAGCAGGGATTCCGCATATGGGACGGGTACCAAACTTGCTGTAATGAGAAAGAGAAGACATGTAGTTTGATGAATGGGACAGGAAAAACAGGATCAAGTTTCAGTAGGGACCTAATCTGGTGAGACGGCAAGGGCTGTGTCTACACCTAGTGTAAAATGGGGTCAGGCTGCTGCTATGCAAACACAAGAGCCTTAGCATGTAACATTGGTCTTCCAGCTTGTTTAAAGAAGTTTTTGTGGCGAATGAAGGAGTCATATGTATTATTTTTATGAATATCATATATTCTTCAGTTTACCTGTTTGCTTTAACTATGCAGCCAGACTGGATAATCTCAAAGGCTGTTGGGGGAAAACAACAGGGAACAAAACAATAACAGACAGACGATACCTTAAGGGAACAATAGGGAGAGCTATAATTTGGGAAATACCTACCTGCCTACATACCAACCATGCTAGCAAGGTTTATTCTTCCCAAGCCTAAACCTAGGAGCAAAGGGGATGCTGAAACATTAAAGGTCCCAGCCTGAAAAAGGAAGAGGTATTGAGGGCACAGCAACAGCTAGAGATGTGTGTCTGTCAAAGAGAAAATCTACTTGCCAAATCAATTATTGTTACTGAAGCACATGCCAATCTTTCTTGTTGCCTGCACTCTCTTCAGCTATACTCCACGTGACAAAATATGGGAGTGCTTTTAATAATTTGTTAATACTGTATATTGGCCTGGCTCTGGTGAGGTGGTTTTTGTGAGAATGTCTTTGATTACGGTCTTCCCAACAGGTGACCATCTGGGACAGTCCAGGCAGATAGGAGAAGATGGCTCAAGATGATCCTGTAACAGCTTTGCCAACTTTTTCTTATAGCCCCCGCTGAAATCAAACATTTGCATGAGAATTTCAGCTTCGATTAAAAAGGTAAGTTTCTAACCATCGTGATTGAGGAGAAAAACTTTGTTTCAACCGCTAAGTAAAAATATTTTGTTTTAAAATATTTGATTATTTTGTTGGTCAATATCACTGGTCACAGGTTCCCAAGGGAAGGAAACACAGGTGCCCAAAACCTAGCTGGACTTGCACCGTGATAAGCAGCTGTCATACATGGGGCACTGGTCCCAGCCCTGATCCAAGTATGGAAGAATCACAAGATTCCATCCCAAAACAGACAAGGGCAAGAGGCCCAAGACCTGATTTGGGTTCTCTGAGAGAGACTAGAAAGGGGACTGAAGTGCAGCTAGTCCTGTAGCTGTGATACTCCCCTTCTTGCACCCTCTCCTCTCCTTGTACCCCACCCTTATACCCCTGGCAAGTTGCAGACCCAGGGTGAAGTGTACGTTCTTCCACAAAGGAACTCTGTCCTCAGTTGAAGCAGCAGGTTCTGTGGCTTGGCGTCTAGGTGGGACATGAGGGCAAGGAAATGTATAGTATAGACCATGAGCATACCGAGATGTTTCAGAGATAGTCCAAATGTATAACATGCAGCCAGTTTGAAAGGTGCACAGTGAGGAAGGTGCTTGCAGAGCCCGGTGAACAGGATAGCTGTAATTCTGCTGCTGGTTTGATGCATATTCATTATGATGATATGATTACATTTTTAAATTACATTATCACACATGATTTTTCTCTGCATATATCATCAACTGGTTTGAACTCAGGACTTTCAGATCAACAACACAGACTTCTACCACTTGATCTCACTGGGTATGTCTACACTGCAAGTAGACACCCACAGCTGGCCTATGCCAGCTGACTCAGGCTCAGGGGGCTCATGCTGCAGGGCTGTTTAATTGCAGTGTAGACGTCCGGGCTTGGGCTGGAGCCCAGGCTCCAGGACACTGCGAGGTGGGAGGGTCATAGAGCCTGGGCTTCAGCCCAAGCACAGAAGTCTACACTGCAATTAAACAGCCCTGCTGCCCGAGTCCCCGAGGCCCAGTCAGCTGGCATGGGCCAACCACAGGTTTTTAATTGCAGTGTAGACATACCCAAGGAAGGAGTAAGTGGTAGCAGAAGTAGCCTGTGGAGCCTACGGACCAGGCACTAGAGGGTAGTGTGACACACTTTGCTAGAGGGTTACATAGCTGCTTGCTTGACAGCATAGAACTGTGGGTATCAGGATTCTCAGGCTCTCTCCTACATTCTCCCTAGTCAAACAGCACTTCAGCACTCTCACTGCAGAACATCCTCAAATCCCCAACCACTTTTTTTGCCACTTTCATGTCCAACCTTAAACTCTCCCCTCTCTTGTCATTTCCACTCAAAATCTTGCTGATTTTTTCAGCAAGATTAGAAAAAGCCGCTCTTTCCTTCCCCTTTGCTATCTTCTCTTCCTTTTTCACTATCACTGAAGCTGAGATCTCTCATCTGTAGCTTTCCTCCTCTAACCATTTCAGCAGCCCCACATCCCATCCAAGTGCATCCCCCTTCATCATGTTCTCTTTTGCCCCACTCTCTCCCTTCCTACCCTCCCTCATTCCCACCTTCTTCCTTACCTTCACCCCACACCTTCCCTGTTCTCTACCTCTCTACTATCAACTCCACCATGCAACTTTGCACTCTCTCTCTCTCTGTCTTTATCTAAGGAGGAAAGAAGGTGTCCATGTGTTTATGACAGTGGTGGACTACAGTTCAGGAGCCCAGGGTTGCACACTGCAAAATTGCCACGCAATAGCAGCTCCAACTGAGGTCCAGGGGTGCAAGTGCACCCACAGAAACTAGGTCCGGATAAGAACTGACTTGCACTGGCAGGACCACCTGAGGCAGGGTGTGCAAAAACATCCATCCCAAGGTGCCCCGCATCTGGCCCTCATTTTTAAAGTTCTCCCGCGATCCCGTATTACCCTTGGAAAGTCCCAGCGCCAGCTACTCGGCCTAGCAACAGGTCTCACCGACCAATACAAAATTCAGGTGGGCAGGGCAGCAGCCAATCAAAATATGATGTTGCCCTGGCCAATCATTAGGATCCAAGCTCACCCTCCTCTGCCAATTACAGAGCCAGAGAAGGAGTGTTTTTTTTCTACCCAGCAACACGGAACGTGTGGCCAATCACAAAAACACACCAATGGAAATATCAGGCAGGCCAAGCCCGCCCTCATTGCTATCCGGCCTAGCAACCTCTCAGGAAGGGTCTAAGGCCTAATAACATCGGGACAGATTTAGCCAATCAGGAAAGGAAGCAAGGTGATTGACAGACCAATATTAACCCCTTGAGGAAGCCAGTGCTGCAGGCTGCTGGTTTACTGTCCTTGCCTTAAGTAATGGAATTTGGGTGAAGACAGCTCACCCACTGCATTGAGAGGGGGTGAGGCTGGGAGTATGCAGCAGATCTTGGCTGGATCTAGGATGCCCTCACTGATCAGGAGGGCAATTCTTCAAGGTGCTGAGGTTGTTGAATACCTTGTGTGTGTTTTCCTGGACCACAGTGTCCTGTATCCACTGTCCTCGAGAGTAGCTCCTGGGATGCCCAGCTGAAGTAATCAACAGCTGGTGTCAGAGCCACTGTAACTGTCTTGTCCAGGGACAAAGAAGATTCCTTTGGTGGTGAAGGCAGCTGGAGCATTTCCCTCACTGCTTCTATCACATCTTCAGAGGTTCCCTCTAGTTCTAGGGAGGGTGCTCTGGCCAGCAACACCAGAGGCAACTGAAATCTTCTCCTCTTTGCTGAGACATTGGAGGGGACCCTGCTCCAAGATCTATGGGAGGGCAGGCCAATGAGGCCATGGTGGCAGGTTGTACTGATACTGGCATAACTGGGTATGCCCCATCCAATGCTAGTTCTGCACCAGGACTCAGTACTGCATGCTTCCGAGTACCCTTGGCGGTATCGACCTCGCTCCTCAGGTGAGGGTCCCTGCTCAGTGTGGTAGAGAAGGAGTATATTGGTGACAGGGATGAAAAGTAGCTCTCAGGAAACGGCAGTGCTAATAGTTGTGACAATGGCTCCAATGGTAGGGCTGATGGTGCCAATATCAATGTTGATGCCTGTACTAGTATTGGGTCTGGTGCCGAGAGGAGCAGTTCCCAGTCAAGGGCATATTTTGAAACTCAGAAGGGCTCCAGTTTTGAAGTTATGAAGTGTGAAAAAATTGATAAAGAAAGTTAAAGACATCAAGAAACAAACAGTGCCGGCAGGTGCAAGGACAATAAGGAGTTTTTTAAGTATATGAGGAACAAAAGAAATCCTAGCAATGGTATAGGCCCATTACTGGATGGAGATGGTAACATCAGAATAATAGAATATTAGGGTTGGAAGGGACCTCAGAAAGTCATCTAGTCAAACCCTCTGCTCAAAGCAGGACCAAACCCCAGACAGATTTTTTTACCGCAGTTCCCTAAATGGCCCCCTCAAGGTTTGAACTCACAACCCTGGGTTTAGCAGGCCAGTGCTGAAACCACTGAGCTATAATGATGCTGAAAAGGCAGAAGAGTTCAATAAATATTTCTGTTCTGTACTTGAAAAGAAGCAGGATGACATACTCATATCACATGAAGATGATGAAGTACAGTATTTTCAAGAACTCTGTGCCAGCAACACCTGGATAACTGGCACCCAAGAGTCATAAAAAAGTGTTGGCTGAGGAGATCTCTGGCCCGCTGATGTTAATTTTTAATAAATCTTGAAATACTGGGGTGCAATGGGGCACTCACCTCCTGAGTACCTCCTATTGGCTGGGTGCAGTACTGCAATCCTCTTTTCCCCACTCATAGTACCCTCTATAGGTTGTCAACCTTGCTAGGCAGGTCTTCAGAGGCTCAGCCCTCTGGCCAACTCACTGTCCTCAATAGATGAACCCCTTCCAGGGTAGCAAAAGTCCAACAAACTATCTGCCCACATGAGGGTCTTCAGCCCCATCTCTGGGACCTTTAAATCCAGTCCCTTCGCTCAGGCTTCTGAAGGAAATGTGTCCCCTTCTTGGGGCTTAGGCCACTTTGCTAGTGGCCAGTGGGGGAACAAAGGCCCACCCACTACTCCAGGTCCCAACTCAGGAATCCTATAAACCACAACCAAAATACTGCTGCCTCCAGTTTGCTGCTATTCCCTGGGCCTTTTCCCACATAGCTCCCTTCTCTTCACCCTTCCCTCAGGGCTGAAATTCTCAGAGCTTCTTCCTCCTCACGGAACACAAGTACCACCAGAACCCTCCCTCTAGTTCTCTCTCAAGCTCCTGTGACCAGCAAGGAGCACCCTGCCTTGTTCCTCTGGGCTCAGCCAGGAACTGACCTGCTCAGGCCCAGCAGCAGCTTTTATTTGATCCTCCTGGGCTCTGACTGGCTGCTTCTATGCAACCCTTCTAAGCAGGCCTGGAGGACCCACCTTCACTGCTCCTTTCCTGGGGCAGGGTGAGGTAGGACCTCCAGCAAGGGGCCTTGAAGGGCCAGGTACATCCTGTCACATGGGAAATTCCAGAAGACTGGAAGAGTGCTAATGTTGTGCCACATTTCAAAAACAGCGAGTAGGATGACACAGGCAACTGTAGGTCAGTTAAACTGATATCAATCCCCGGCAAAATAACAGAATAGCTGATACAGGATTCAATTAATAAAAAATTTAAATGACAGAAATATAATTAATGCCTCTCCTCATGCTTTTATTTTAAATAGATTTTGTCAAACAAACCTGAATTCATTCTTTGAGGTGATTGCAAGTTCGGTTGATAAAAGCAGATGTAAGACACTTAGACTTTTGTAAGGTGTTTGACTCAGTACTGCATGCCAATATGAGTTTAAAAATTAGCATTAACACAATATCAATACAGCACATGTTAAATGGATTAAGAACATTTTTGTCAATGATATGGAAGTAAATATAAAATCACTGCTGATAAAATTTTCAGATGACACAAAGACTGGCAGAGTGGTAAATAGCAATGAGGATGGGGCGATCATACAGAAGGAACTGGACCAGTTGGTAACCTGGTGTGACATTATCTGACTAAAATATGACCATGTAGATCGGGGTGGGCAAACTATGTCCCGCAGGCCGGATCTGGCCTGTCAGGGCTTTGGATCCGGCCTGCGGGATTGCCACCCCCATGGCACCACGGACACCGCGCCGCTTCTGGGAGCGGTGCGGGGACAGGGCCGGCAGCCAGGGAGCCTGCCCTGGCCCTGCTGCACCCCGTTGCCAGCCCAGAGCCACCCCAGGTAAGCGGTGCCGGGCTGGAGCCCACACCCCAAACCCCTCCTGCACCCCGCACCCCAAATCCCTGCCCTGAGCCACCTGCCACACCCTGCCTGCATCCCTGCCGCACCCTGCACCCCTCCTGCACCCCAAACCCCTGCCCTGAGCTCCCTCCCACACTCCTCCTTGCACCCCTGCCCTGAGCCCCTTCCTGCACTCTGCACCCCCTCCTGCACCCCAATCCCCTTCCCTGAGCCCCCTCGTACACCCCGCACCCCTCCTCTGCCCCAACCCCCTGCCCTGAGCCCCTTTCTGCACACCACACCCCCTCCGAAACACTGCACTCCCTCCCGCACCCCAACCCTCTGCCTGGACTATGGAATTATATCAATGGGAGCATTCTAACCAAGGGATCAAGGACCTTCTATTGATTTGGAAGCAACCAGAGACTTGACTTAAGCCAGCAGTTTATTCCATCACTGCTACAAGCCTGAACCAAGAACTCTGCAATTATTGTATGTACCTGATTCCTTTAACCAATTTTAACTTTCACCTTTCTTTCTTTCCTTTTATAAATAAACCTTTATATTGTAGATACTAAAGGATTGGCAACAGCATGATTTTTGGGTAAGATCTAAGTTATATATTGACCTGGGTATGTGGCTGGGCCTTTGGGATCAGAAGAACCTTTTGTTTGATTAAATTGGTTTAAAGAACCACTCATCTCTAAGTCTAGTGTTTTCGGACTTGGACTGGAATGCCTAAGGAAACTGCTTTTATGACTTCTTGTTAGCCAGTGTGGTGAAACAGAAGTTTATTTTTGTTGCTGGTTTTGTATATCTCATGGGAGAATAACCACTAGTTTGGGGTATGTCCGCCCTATTTCTCAGCAGTTTGTCCTGAATTTGGTATTCTCTGTTGTGATCCACAAAGGCACTGTTACACCTGGATGCATTCAAACAATTTGCATTTGAATACAGCCAAATGCAAAACTGTACATCTAGGAACAGGAGATGCAGGCCCAAGTTATAAAATTGAGGCTATATCCTGAAAATAGTGACCATCCAACAGATTTAGGGGCTGTAGTGGACAAACATTCAATATGAGTTCCCAGTGTGATGCTGTGGCAAAAAGGATTAATGTGATCCTTGAACATATAAACAGGAGTATAGTGTGTATGCCCCTGGTGAAACTGATAATGGAATACTTGTACAGATGTGATGTCCACATTTTAAACAAAACGTTGAAAATTTTGCAGAGGGTTCAGAGAAGAGCCACAAAAATTATTTGAGGGCTGGAAAAAGGTTTACAATGAGAGGCTTAAAGAGCTCAATCTGCTTAGTTTATCAAAAAGAAGATTGAGAGGTTACTTGATTCCTGTGTATAAGGGCCTCCACAGGGAGAAAATATCAGGTGTGAAAGAGCTCTTTAATCTAGTGAGAAAGGCCTAACAAAGAACTAATGGCTGGAAGTTGAAGCCAACCAAATTCAAATGAAAAATAAGACAGATTTTCTAACAGAGAAGGTGATTAGCTCTTGGAACAACTACCATCTCTTTAAGTCTTCAGATCAAGATTGGATGCCTTTCTGGACAAACACCAGTGATTGGGCTCAATACAGAGATAAAGGGGAGAAATTTTATGGCCTGTATTATACAGGATGTTAAACTAGATCAGCCGTTCTCAAACTGTGGGCCAGGACCCCAAAGTGGGTCGCAACCCCATTTTAATGGGGTCGCCAGAGCTGGCGTAGACTTGCCGGGGCTTGGGGCTGAAGCCTGAGCTCCACTGCCTGGGGCCGAAGCTGAAGCCATGCATGAGGGATTCAGCCCTGGGCAGCGGGGCTCAGGTTACAGGTCCTCTGGTTGGGACTGAAGCCCTTGGGCTTCGGCTTTGACCCCTACCCTTTCCAGGGAACTGTGGCTCAGACTTTGGCTTTGGCTCCCCACCCAGGACAGTGGGAATCATGCGGACTCAGGCTTCGGTCCCCCCTCCTGGGGTCATGTAGTAATTTTTGTTGTGAAAAGGGGGTTGCGGTGCATTGAAGTTTGAGAACCCCATAACTAGATTATCTAATGGTCCCTTCTCGCCTTAAAATAGATGAATATATTAATTAAAATCTATGAATATTCTGGTCTATGGCCTTGTCTATATTGGGACTTTAGCTACTGATATAACTGGGATTTTAGCCACAGTGCAAACTCTCTTCTGTATGATACGATTTATATCGGTGCAGCCTGATTATCACTAGGGCAGTTTATTCGGGTTTCAGTCTCCATCAGTGAAAATAATGGCTTTTCCTTTTTTCACTAGGAGTACCAATGCAATTATCTCAGAAGGGGACTGTGATGGTAATTCATTAATAAGTATGTGGTGCTCAGATATTGTGGTGGTGGGTCATGTGGGTAAGTAGTGTTGTTGTAGCCATGCTGGTCCCAGGATTTTAGAGAGACAAAGTGGTTGAAGTAATATCTTTTATTGGAGCAACTTCTGTTGGTGAAAGAGACAAGCTTTCAAGCTACACAGAGCTCTTCTTTGGATCTCAAGGAGGGCTGAATAAGAGCTAGCTCTGTGTAGGTCAAAAGCTTGTCTCTCTCACCAACAGAAGTTGCTCCAATAAAAGATTTTACCTCACTCACCTTGTCCGTCTAATGTAAGTAAGCTGATAGATAGTGACTCTGTCTCTATTTACACAGCACCCTTCATCCTGCTATCCCTTTGTCCATCACATGTCCTGTGAGCCCCTGGGGCAGGGCTCTGTGTTTTGAGTCTGTGCAGATTCAGTTCACTCATGGATTACTGTGGCTGGCATGGCAATTCTCCTATCCCCAGCTCCTCACTCACCTGAGACTTCAAAGATGATGGGAGAAGCGGAGTCAGTATTTGTGCCTGGCGCCTCATAATTGGTGACACTGTCCAAGCTTCCATCATCAGCAATGCTGACACCTCTCAGCACTAGGGTGGCAGGGTCTGAGGAGAATGATCCAGCAAAGGCACCCGGAAATCCACCCACAGCTTCCTCTATATAATGACAGTCCAAGACCACATCCACAGAGCGTAATTGGGACCCCGGGGCCAGCTCCACTGGCAGCTCTGCTGAGAAGAAAAAGAACCAGCTGAGAGGTGGGGTGCACACACACACATACACATACCTGCTGCCCCATTGGGACAAGACATTTGGCACTGACATCTTGCCCTTTGCTGGGGCAGCCCTATGGGGACAATCCAGGTGAACCCTGGGGCACGCTACCACCACACAATTCCCCTCCTTCCCTGGAACACCTCCCCTTAAGTACCTCTTCCCAGTTTGGTATTACTTGCCCATCCCCCACTGCCATCATCCTTTTGGAAGACCCCAGGCACTCTCCCATGATTATCAACTTATACTATCACACCTCCCTCTGGTGTCACCACCACAAGGTCCATCCATTTCTGGGGGGGGGCATGGGGGCCCATTTGTCTAATCCCTTCTGGGACACAAGCTGCTAATCAAACTGTTCCCCTCTTGCTCCCTGAGGCTATAATGCAGGGGTGGCCAAACTATGGCTCATGAGCCACATGTGGCCCTTTTACCCTTAAAGTGCGGCTCACAGAGCCCCCGCCCCTTCCCCCCATTCTCCACCTAACAGACTGGGGGGAGGGAGCTTGGGCCCTCTGCCTTGCAGCAGGGTGGTGAGATAGGGGCTTCTGCCCAGAGGGGAGGGGGCGTCTCGGGGCTTCAGCAGGAGCAGGGCTGAAGCACCAAGCGGAGCCCTGGCAGGTGCGCTCTGGCTCTGGAACTTCTGAAGATTGTGCTATGCGGCTGGGAGGGTTTGGCCACCCCTGCTATAATGGGCCTTCTGAAGAGGCATCCCTGTAGACCAGCCAGAATCCCACAGCTGACACCTCCTAAACTCACCAGCCTTCAGAGCCAGCACTCCACAGATGAGGATGAGCCCTAGATTCATTTTGTCCCCCAAACAAGGGGTTCCAGACACCCTAAAACATCAGGCGTCTGTGCTAGAATCAAACTCTGAATGAGTCTTCAGCCTGCCAGTGCCTTTGCTTTCACTTTCACTCTGACAACCAAAAACAGACTCAAGAATATTAACCCCTTCCTTACCTAAGAGAGGAGTCGGATAGCCTGAGACACTTGGAAACCAGATAACGGGAGATTGCAGGTTAGGATTGAGGGGCATCAGCAAAGCTGGCTGTTTAACTCTCTGAATTGCTTTTTGAGATAAAACTCTCCTGTGTCAGTCTCTTCCAAAATCCATTTTGTGCCACATTTTCTTTTTTTGAGATCCCCAAGCCTCTGTGGAGCCATTTGAATCTGTGTTCAGATGCATTTTTAAAAGATTTGTGCTCACAAAATAGTTTTTACTGATCATTCTTCAGCTGAATAGAAGTGCTTGAAAGTTGTCTCCTATGAGTTACGTGTAACAAACTATCTGAGTTCAGTGGGTGTGACATGAATTCCAGAAACAAGGAAAGTTTGTTCTCAGAATGAAAAAAAATAATAATCTAGATTTAGAAAGTGAAGGAAAAAATCCAGCAGCTCAACAGAGATGAGTGAGAAAGAGGCTAAGTATTTCTGATATACCAAAGGTTGACTAAGTTTCTCTGTCTCTCTCACATATACTGCAAGAAAATGGCTTTTTTTAATTAGGGAGGAGCATACTGTTATCTTCACACAGATTTACAGGTGTACAGCTATGCTGTGTTGGAAGTGTCACCTTAACTTTGCTTTTCCTTGCTTTATGTTTGTTTGAGTTTGGGGGTTTGTTTTTGTTTGTTTGTTTTTGGTTGGTTTTTGTTTTTCTTTTCTTCTTTTGAGGCTGTAAAGGGTTTTGCATGTGAATTTCACTTGTTTTGGGAAGAACTGGGGGTAGTGAAGGGTGTATGATTGAGGTGCATCTGTAGGAGGGCTTCCTGTATACAGTAAGCTGCTCCACAGGTAGCCCCTCAATCATGGCCCCCTTCATGCTGGAGCTGTGACGCTCATGAGGATCTGAATGGGTTTAAGGTTTTACAGTGTTCCCCTTTCCCCAAAAAACAATCCGGTGGAATGGCCTTCCATCCCAATATTACCACAAACCGACCTATACCTTGGGAGTGTTTGAATGAGCCCTTTGAATTCCAGGTTTCAGAGTAGCAGCCGTGTTAGTCTGTATTCGCAAAAAGAACAGGAGTACTTGTGGCACCTTAGAGACTAACACATTTATTTGAGCATAAGCTTTCGTGGGCTACAGCCCACTTCATTCCATTCTATGCATTCGATGAAGTGGGCTGTAGCCCATGAAAGCTTATGCTCAAATAAATTTGTTAGTCTCTAAAGTGCCACAAGTACTCCTGTTCTTTCTTTGAATTCCAAGGATCCTGCATCTTTTTCTGAATCTGCCATGTTTCCTTCTAACTCCTCTCCACAAGCAGAACCTCCCTACATCCATTCCCCACTCTAAGCTGACCCTTACACAGGATCAGTCATGACACATGGCTTCAGAGGCAGATTAGTAGATGTTACAGTCTTCTGTAGCAAGCTGAGTTGGAAGAGAGAGGTTAGCATGTGAAATCTACCAGGCTTTGTCAGAGAAGCAAAATGGTGCATAGCTTTCCTTCCTTAGTGTAACTCTGGATTGCTAGAAAAAGCCTCAGAATTAAACCTCCCACATTACTGTGAACCCGTTTTCTCTCCGAAAGCACTGGGAGTCATGCTGAAATTATACTTGTGTCCCAGAATTTGCTGCACTTCCATGCATCCTGCCAAAAGGATGTCACGTGTCCTTTAACACACAGCTTCTGAATGCTCTGTCCCTCCTCCCACCCAGATGAAATGCATTCCTTCCTTCCTGAACCGAACCCCCAGCCCTGCTCCATGTGTAGTGTGCAACAAACCCTTTTCTCCCTGACCTGACACGCTGTAGTCAAGTACAAGGAAGCACAAACAGAGCTCAAAAAATGTATACTGTTATTTCTCCTCTGTAGTGAGTGGAGCTGTTATTATAGCCAATTGGAGAAGATACCGCAACCACCTTCTCGAGTCCCACCATACCATTATCTCTGGCGTCTCTGAAGCAGAAACATCAGAGCTCCTAGCCCCCACCTCCCAACCGGGTACAGCTAAGAGTGGCTGCGAGGGGAACCTGTCACGTCCCATCATCCAGTCACTGGGGCTGGGTGCAATCTCCCTTGGCCAGCGGAGTATATACAGAGTTCGCTGTGAAATCCTTCCTCTCTTGTGCGTGTTCAACATCTTTTACTGCGTATTTCATGGTGACTGTTTTGTAGTCTGTGCCCACAGCTGTGTGTGTGAACGAGACCTGTGACTGCTGTATATTGTGGTGCTGTCTCTTTAAAACGTGTCATGCTGCCATGTCCTCTCCTTGCCAGAGAGCTCTCACGTGAGGCAGAGACACTCGGCGGCTGCCTGCTCAGTCTGCAGGAGCCATCTTGTTATGTCTATAGTAAAAAGGTACATGTGTCTGGTCTCACTCTGGCTTCCTGCAGTACTCGGGCTGCAGCGCGCTCACAGAGACAGTGACACTCGCAGCTGCGGCTGTGCAAGCAGCGCTGTCTGGCGTTAGCAGTGACCCCAGGCTGCAGGAAGTAGCTGTTTTTGCCAGGACACAGCGTGTCAGTAAATGGTGCAAACTGCCACACACACAGACAAGAAGCTGCAATGCACAAACCAGCAGAAACCAAACAGGAGGCACAGAGAATAAAGACACAGTGAGTACACAAAAGTGAAGGCAAAATTAAAGCAGTTAAACTAGAAAATAGTATTTAAAAAAAATCCTGAGCAGGGAGGATTGCAAGCCAACCCCACCTTTATCTTTCTTTTGTGATCTTGCTGAAAATTGAAGGAGATGGGAACAAACCTTCCAGATCTGTATGAAAACCTCAGGAGCAGATAAAAAAGAACAGGGCATAAAAGTAGCCATTTTACTGCACATAGTGGGAGAGGAAGCTCTGGAAGTTTATAACATTCTTACAGCAGCCAGCTGAAAATGCTTCAGTTTTGGATGAGATCTTAACAGTGCTTAGAAACTATGGCAACCGTAAGAAAAATGTTGTCTTTTGAACGGTACCAGTTCTGTAGTGGTCTCACCTACACTTAGGGAAGAGCAGATAGACAAGTATGTCATAGAGCTGAGGCAAAAAGCAAGAAATTGAGAGTTTGGAAATACTGAAAATGATATTCTCAGATACAGTACTGTGTTCAGTGTCACTGATAAAGGGCTAAAGGAAAGGTTGTTGAGGAAAGTGGAAACCTGATTTAGGCTTGTAGAAAGGGGGAGGGATAGCTCAGTGGTTTGAGCATTGGCCTGCTAAACCCAGGGTTGTGAGTTCAATCCTTGAGGGGGCCACTTAGGGATTGGGGCAAAATCAGTACTTGGTCCTGCTAGTGAAGGCAGGGGGCTGGACTCGATGACCTTTTAAGGTCCCTTCCAGTTCTAGGAGATACGGTGTCTCCATTTGCGGAGCTTCACAAGCCACAAAGACACAAAATAGAGATCCCGTCTTGGCCACATACTGACAAGTTTGTAGAGGCTGTTATACAAAAGAATACTCAGGGCATCATGGGGAGGGCCCAGCTGCTGGTGAGTCAGAGCAAAGCAGACACACCAACCACTCTCACAAAATTTCTGTACACACTGTGGTATGACAGACAGCCTATGGAAAAACATGTCACAAATGTGGAAAATTAAATCCCTATTCTATTTGCAGAGTTTAATCTTAATATTGGGGTGGAAGCTAAATGTTTTCTAATTCACCGTTTGAGAAAGATAGCAGGTCCCATCCAGATAAAGCAGTCTGATGTTGTGCTTATAGCATATGGTGATTCCAGAATATACTCTTAAGGGGAAGTCACCTTAACAGTGGCAACTGTTAAAGCTAAGGTCAGTCTTCAATTGAAGACTTCATCTTAGTGATGAAGACTTAATCGCTAAGGCATTTACAACACTACTGATAGGCAGAGAAGCTTGCATACAGGTACACCTAATATGTATGTGGGTATGCTGTATACCAAAGCACCCAGCACTAAAGAAGAATTGATTGCACAACACCTGGAATTCTTCAGGGGACTAGGAGAGTTCTGTGGGAAGTATTCCATATATACAGACCCATCAGTCACCATTGTCATGCATGGCTGCAGAACTACACCTTTTGCAGTGACAGAGACTCAGAAATTCACTCAGACAGTTAGAAAAGGAAAGAGTCATAGCCAAAGTGAACTCACCCACTCCATGGGTTAGCAGTTTAATCATAACTGAGACAAAGTATGGGAAGATTAGGATTTGTTTGGATCCCCAATGCCTTAATAAGACTATATTGAGACAGCATTACTCTATCCCCACACCAGTAGATGTCCGTTGCTGACTAGCTGGTAAAAGCATATTCATTATGCTAGATAAGAAAGATGGATATTGGTAAGTCACTTTAGATAATGAGTCATTTGAATTTTGCACTTTTAATACACTCTGGGACAGATACAAGTTTCTCTGTTTACCTTTTGGAATAAGAGATAAGGTGATTCAGTAAAGATAATGCCATAATAAATAGACATGAGGAATGACTAAGAGAACATGCCATTGTGTTATGTCGTGTTCCAGTGGTTTGAGTTGCACCATTTATTTGCATGCACACCAGCTGCCTTAGGTGTTAGGTTTAACTGTATTGAATGGTGGAGCAGTTGGAGCAAATTGGCTGCACTGCCACTGTGGTATGAGGAGAGTTGCACCTGTACTTTGAGGGATCAAGCATTCCTCATTTCAGCATTGAGTTCTGTAGGCTTTGTCAGTAGGGGGTTCCGGGGGGGTGTCTTGCCATGGGGATTGTCAGCAGTCTGGTGGTCTACATGACTAGTCTCCATGCCTTAGTGAGGAGTCAGTGAAGGCAATGGCTCAGAAGGAATCCTCAGGGCAAGGGTGAAGAGGTGGTAACATTTTGCAAATCTGGTGTGGTCAGTATTTGTGTGTAGGTAGCTGCTGTTTGCTAGGACTGATCTAAACTTGAGTTTTGCCTTAGCAAAGAGTAGGTGCTAGACTTTGTCCTACAGTGCTTATGTGCTCTGTTCCCAGAGTGTCTGTAGTATCTGTAAGGGCAGTGTGTTATTGGCATGTTGGAGTATCACTCAAAGAGGGTAGAGTAAAGGTTGCATTGCAGAAATGGTTTGTACCTTCACTTTTTATTTCCTTGTTTTCAGAGGTTTAAGGTTACCCACTTCTCCACATTCTGAAGGGCATTAGGCAGCACTGAGTAAACCTAACTCTCTATTAATGAAGGTTTGGGACAGTTAATTTCCTTGGTATTTTAAAGAAAAAATTTCTTACTACCCCATAGAGTGGTTGCCCTTGCTGAACCCCTGAGGGGAGGTGCAGTTGCCCTGAATTGACACCTGCTACTAGAGGGAGCTGTGGAGACTGTTCTGTTGTTTGAATCCATAAAGAAAAATACACCAAAATTTGAAAATAAACTCTCCCCATTGTGCCAGGCCTGGAAAAAAGGGACTCAGCAGGGGAGGAAGAAGATGATGACACTGGTCAGCACCTCTCACAGGTTTCAAATAAAACAGAGGGAGCCGTGTTTCCATGGTTTAGGGATATCACACCAGCAGGAGCACTATTTCTCTAGTAAGCTGCACTGCAAGAAGTGCGGTAAGAGGGAAAATGTCACCTGGGCTTGCCACAGTGCCCCACAGAACAGCAAAGGATATGCTGAGAGGAAGCCATCAATGACTGCAGATAGGAGCCATGGAACTAGTTATGTGACTAGGAGGAGTTGGGCTCGGAGGCAGATTGTCTCCAGATGAAAGGATATGTGAGCTGTACCATTTCACAGAACTGTATATGGTGGAGAATGAACAGATGTCATCACCCGTATTATGTTAATGTAAAGGTAAAGGATGTGATATTGATAATGGAGAGAGATACAGGAGTGACAATGACCATGATCTCTGAGGGAGTTTACAAAAAAAATGTTATCTGAGGTAAGATTAAAAGAAACTATTGTGCTTTTACAGAATTGCAATAAGGGCAGAGAGGGGTATTAAGCTGTCTCCCTGTCACTGTAACTTATAAAGGTTTCTGTTCACCATTAGAATTAGTTGTAATGGAAGGAAATGGCCCCCCAATAATGGGGAGAGATTGGTTATGCAAGATTAAATTGGATTGTGGTACATCATCTGCCAGACAGAGCGGGGGCATTGAAAGACCAATATAAAGCTGTCATTAGTACAGATACGGGTTTGGTTAAAGACATACACCAGCAAAGCCAAGGCCATTCCTAAATTTCTGAAGGCTACACCTGTGCCATATGCTCTGTGAGAGCCTAAGAAAAAGCAACTGGATGACTTGCAAAAGCAGGGTATAATTTCTCTATGGAGTCCAGTGAAAGAACTGTACCAATTGTGTGTATCCCAAAAGGTGATGGTAGTGTAAGAATTTCTAGGGATTATATAGTCACTATAAACCCCTGGCTGGAGATGGACAAGTATCTACTTCCTAAACCACAAGATTTATTTGCAAAACTGACAGAGGGAATGAAGTTGAATAAACTAGACTTGTCCCAAGCATACCAGCAGATGGCAATGTAGCCAGATGCAAAAAAATTTCTGTCCACAAAAGGGGTATTTAGGTATGAAAGATTACCCTATGGGGTAGCTAGCACACCTGTTCTGTTTCAATGAATAACAGATCAGGCACTGCAGGAGGTAAATAGTGGTGTCTGTTATTTAGATGATTTATTAATAACCGGGAGGACTTCAGAGGAACATTTAAAATATGTAATGGGGACACTAAAGAGATTACAAAAATATATTTTAAAGTTAACAGAGATGAGTGTGCTTTTTTTTCAAAATCAGGTTACTTGTTTGAGGCACTGTGTAGATGCAGAAAAGGTTTACCTATTAAAAGAGAATATAAAATCAGTTGAGAACACTCCAGTGCTATAGACGGTCTCAGAGCTTAGATTGTTTCTGACCGTGTTAAATTATGATGAAAGATTAATTCCAAATTTACCAACATTAATTGCAGAAACTATAAAGTGGGTTTGGACGGAAAAGAAACATAAAACTTTTGAGGTAGTGAAAAGGAAACTAGTTCCAGCCTATTGGTACACTGTAATCCTGAGCTTTCCATAACTAGGGCCCTGAGAAATTCGCAACTATGCAGAAATTGTGGAATTAGCCTAGTACTGCAGTTTTTCCTACAGCAGGGAAGTAAAAGTGGGCACCTGTACGTTCTGGTCTCATGCTCAGGAAAATCTGTAGCCTCACATGAACTTCTGCTTCGACGTAACACTGCCCGTGGATGCCTGCTTCTGTCATTCCGTTGTAGGGGAAATCGCAGCAGTTTGGGGTGATTCAATGTCTGCTTTTATACAAAGGAATGTAGCAGTGACCTTTCACTGATGGCATTCTGTGTATATCCTGTGAAATTTGTTACTTTACCTGTGACAGTGCTGTAATTTAAAAAAAAAAATCAAGATTTTCTCAGGGCTCTACCCATAACCTAAATTTAAATTATTAAATAAATAATAAATAAATAAATGGAGATATCCTATCTCCTAGAACTGGAAGGGACCTTGAAAGGTCATAGAGTCCAGCCCCCTGCCTTCACTAGCAGGACCAAGTACTGATTTTGCCCCAGATCCCTAAGGAGTTTTTTAAGTATATGAGGAACAAAAGAAATCCTAGCTATGGTATAGGCCCATTACTAGATGGAGAT